ATGTTTTACTGTAATACTGTCTTTATGTTGTCCTATTGCTGTAATATATTGCACAAGTGTCAATAATTGCATTGGCAATTTAAACTTTTTCTGTACACGTACAATCCAATCCCTGGGATTGTCCTATGCCACATCTCCTATAGTCTCATGATGAGCACTGTGGGCTTTCATGCGGGAGATCAGTGTTCAAATCCAGCTACTGCTACTTCAACAGAAATCTCTGCAAACTTCATGTTGTCACACAATTACCTTAATTACAAACACCTGCTGACATTACAGGCACAAGCTGGTATAGAAAACACATTTGAACTTGGTCAAAGTTCATTCTGAAAGTCCAATGCTCCTGCATACATTGTCCTACAGCTGTCATTGTAATTTCTATCTGTAAAGGTCCTGTGCCAAATGATTGCTATACCTTTTGGTACCTGTACAACTTGAAGTTTTTGAAATATTAATGTTTAAACTTTATTCCGAATTCATATAATGAGAGTCAATGGGGCCTTGTAATGGTTCAATACTGCCCCCAGCTGTACTCAACTCGGTACTGCAACAAAGGTTTTTTGTATTTAATCTCAATAGTTCAGTGTTTACAATACTAATTTGATTGTATTTTGATGTTTTACAATAATGTTGTCTTAATTCTGCTCTATTGTTGTAATAATATGCATTTTTTGTGTCAATAATTGTATTGGCAATGTGGCCTCTTTTTGCACACATACAAACCAACTCCTGCCACCACCTTCTGCCACAACTCCATTGGTCTAATGGTCTATGTCATGGACTTTCATGTGGGAGATCAGGATTCAAAACCCAGCTAATGCAACTTTAACTAAAAATCTCTTCCAACATCATCTTGTCACTCAATTACCTTAATTAAAAACACCAGCTGACGTGACAGGCACAACCTGGTATAGAAAACACATTTGATCCTAGTCAAAGCTCATTCTTCTAGTCCAATGCTGCAGGCAAAGCCATGCTGCAATGACATGCTGCGTGGCAATGCACATTTGTTTTTACATCGTAAAAACCCATGTCTAGTTATTATTCATCTTATTCCGTCTTCTTCCACGTCACCACGCTTCTCCTCCTGCATACTTTGTCCTAAAGCTGCCATTGTAATTTCTATCTGTAAAGGTCATGTGCCAAATGATGACTTCTGGTGTCTGTACAACTTGTAGTTTTTGAAATAATAATGTTTAAACTTAATTCCAAAATTCATATAATGGGAGTCAAATGGGCCTTGTAATGGTCCAATACTGCCCCATGCTGGACTCAACTTGGTACTGCTCCACTCTTTAATAATATTTCATCTCAATTGTTCAGTGTTTACAGTACTAATATGATTGTATTTGGATGTTTTACTATATTATTGTCTTAATACTGCTCTACTGTTGTAATATTATGCAGTTTAGTGTCAATAATTATATTAGTAATGCGGTCTCCTTCTGCACACATACAAACCATCCCCTACCACCACCTTCTTCCACAGCTCCACTGGTCCATAGGTCCATATCATGGACTTTCATGTGGGAGATCAGGGTTCAAAACCCAGCTAATGCAACTTTAATAAAAAATCTCTTCGAAATTCATATTGTCACTCAATTACCTTAATTCTAAACACCTGTTCACGTGACAGGCACAAGCTGGTATAGAAAACACATTTGATCCTGGTCAAAGCTCATTCTGAAAGTCCAATGCTGCAGGCAAAGCCATGCTGCAATGACATGCTATGTGGCAATGCACACTTGTTTTTACATTGTAAAAACCCATGTCTAGTTTGAAACTGTATCTGTACTTACAGAGCTTTGTTGGAGGCTTTGATCACTGGCAGCAGCCTTAGAAGAACCTTCTCTGAAGCTGAATATTTCTTCAGATCAAACAAATCCAGATCTTTTTCTGATGACAGTAAGATGAAGACCAGAGCTGACCACTGAGCAGGAGACAGTT